TTGCTGTCTCCAGATCTTTCCTACAGGAAAGTATGCTGTCAGAGGAAAGTTATTTGCTACCTAGAGCTCCCTCTGCTGATACACAGGGTGGCCGATTCCCTGGAACTGCAGCCTGTGTCAGAAGCACAGCTGGATGTCTGGCAGGACGCATCGCCTACCTATGTCTGTGGTCTGATCAGAGGCTGCTTCCTTCTCTTGGATGGAGTGGGGGGGGGGTACAGGTGATGCGTGTCTGTGGCCTCGTGTACTGGGGGCCTGGGACCGGGGGACTTCCAGCGTCCTGGCTCCTCTGACCTCCACTTGCCCAGGAATCATGGTGCTTGCATGCACTTGTCTGAAAGAACCAGAGGTTCCTAGCCATGCGACGGTGTTCTGTGCGTAACCCTCCCACTGACACTGTGAAACAGGTGACCCATGTTTATGACTTCTGTTTGATGCTGAAGTGAAACCGAGGGGGAGGTTTTAAGTTTTTTAAGAGCAGAGTCAGGGTCAAAACAGAGCCTGGGTAAAAACAAGCTCTAAGAAACCAAAAAGAAACAGACACATTAAGATGTAGGCAGATTAAGATTAAAGAAAAAAAAAAACCCCTACATATTTGACTACATGTGACTCTTTGGCTGAAGTTTATTTAAATTCAGAAGAAGGCGTGTCATGCCCTAGCTCTCTGGTACCTTCTGTCAGGAGTACTTGAGAGAAGGGGAGAGCATTTCTCTACAGACCAGCCTGCCACCACAGCCAGGCTAACATTCCATCAGTACTGACACTGGCCAGGACCAACATTTTGTACGGAATATATGGCACTTTGTTTTATACCGTACCCTGATCCCATACCCGCCCCCCCCAGCAGCCTTAAGATATAAGCATTATTTTTCTTTACCTTTTACACATTGGAAAACTGAGGTTCAGTAATGTTAAGCAACTTGCCTAAAATCGCACGACTAAAAAGTTGCCAAGATTGTGGTGGGTTCTGCCAACTTGTAAGCTCCAGTCCACCGGCTGGTGTTCATTCTATGCCGGAGGTTTACTCCATGTCCTGCACTATGCAGAGTGCCAGAGACAGAAGAGGTCCTTGCCCTTGGGGGGACTGGGAGTCTTTTATCAAAATGGAGGGCTAGACTTAATGCCACTTCCTCCAGGCAGCCTTCCCTGACTACCCTTTTTTTTCTCCCCTCTGATACCTTTGGACACTCATAACTGACACTGCCCTACTGTTATTAACGAAGTGAACAATACCTTTTATGGAGCACTTACTATGTTCTGGTCTCTCTAGAAAAACCCTTTACATGGGTTATCTCATTTAATCCTTATAAGAAATCTATGAGAAAGATTTGATCAGCTTGGCCAAGGTCCCATCTATCACCACAATTTTATCATCCCCCCATTTTACAGATGAGGAAACCAAGGCATAAGGAACTTAATTGATGCTGAAAGTCTCAGATAAAAAGCAGCAGAGCTGGGCATCTGTCGGAAAGCTCCCTGAAGGTGAAGACCGTTCTTCCCTGATTTCCCTCCTGGCTCCTGGCTTCGCACTGGGCACACCCAAGAGCTCAAAACTCCTTGCTGCCTGATCGTCTCTCCCCTCGTTGGAAAGTGATGATCAAACAAGATTTGGGGGTGGGGATGTGGAGGGAATCCCACACATCAGTTGGAACTTCTTACAGCTCTGGCTCTCAGTTAATGTGAGAGTAGGAGCCGTATCAAAAAGAAAAAATCCTTAGGGAATTCTTCATATCTATTTTTTCTCTTGCCCCACCTGGGTCCTGGTGCATAGTAGGGTCCAATACATCTGTGTTGAATGACTGAATGAGCTTTAAAAATTCTAAAGAGACTTGATGCTGTTGCTACGGCCACTGCTTTGCTTGCCTACCCCAGCCCCGTCTCCTACAGATGCTTGAGGTGCTGTCAGTCTGTCTCAGGGCAGGAGGAATAGTCTCGGCGACCCTAGGAGCTTGCCTGCCTGCCCTTCTATCTCAGGTGATTTATCATCCTAAAAACCTCACATAAGCTGTTTATGGCATCCATAACCTGCCCGGAGCTTTTAAACCTCTTTCTCACATGGCTTTTTATGAGTTGAGATAAACAAACAACTCTCTCTCTCTCTCTCTCTCCAGGGACTTGGGGGCCTGGATCCTTAACCTCACTCTTTCAGCCGGTGGCCCCCAAGGGAGCTGAACCAGAGCATGGGCCCCAGAAGACCATGGTTAAACGTGTCATGTGCAGGAAGCAGATAACATCATTGTTGCTTAGAGGAAAAATGCAGCAGAGACCTTGAAGAAAAATGTGCTGCAGGGCGTGGATGCCCAGAGTCCCCAAGGCAGCCTTTGCTAGGATTGGGAAGCTTTGTTTAGACCCTGAGGAAGAGTTCTGAGGACATGACATGATGATCTTGAGGACCATCTCATCCAGTCCATCATTTGGCATTAAAGAAACCTAAGTCCTTGGAGGGGAATGACTTGCCTAAGGTCATGTAGCATCAAAGTGGCCCCATGGAATAGATTATGGTGCCTGCCTCCCCTATACTTATTCCCTCCTTCCCATAAGACCCTGATCCCTGTAGAACCTCCAGAAGGTTGCAGGGATACTGGCTGCTCCCCAGTGCCACCGGTGGTGATAGATGGGACCTTGGCCAAGCCAATCAGCGCATTCTATGTTCCTGGCTGCCCTGCTTGGTTAGGGGCGACCAGCATCTCTGCACCTTTGAGGAGAATGCTGGGAAATACAGACCCTCCTTCCTGTGGGCTAGAAACAAACAGGATACAAGTAGTCTCAGCAACTGAGGCCAGGTTGTGACACGGAGAGCCTCAGAATGAAACAGACCCCTTGAAAGGCAGAGAGAAGAGATGGAAAGAAAAGGAATTCGAAGTCATAGTTCCAAGTTGCTGGATCAAACCTCACCTGATGTCTTTACTCTGAAATATTCAGTTACATGATCCAGTAAACTCTATTTTTAAGACAGAATAGAGGTTTTATTCCTTATAACCAAAATATTCCCAAGTGATAAACAGATGACAGAAGGCCAAAGAGCTTGTCTCTGTTCTATTTCACTCCTGGTTATGTGGGCTGAGCCCAAAGGGACTTCCCCTATGCCTGTCCACATGTCTGGCCAGGCTATAGATACCCTGAAGGCTGAGTCTAATTTGCAGTTTAGAATCCCCACTAGCTGACAGTTTATACTCTCAGTTCAGGGAAGTGGGTTGGCTTGTTATGTGGGTCCAGAAGGTATTTTCTAGGTGGTCCCCACCACCCCACCCTGATGAACCAATAGCACTTTGTGCACATCTCTAAAGTGACACTGACCTCATGGCTCTTTAATGACCAACATCTACATCTGGATCCCCTTTGGACCCCAAGCTTGCTGAAGGGGAGACTGAGCCTTACTCACCTTTGGGTCCCTGCACTTGGGCCCAGTGTGAGACACAAGTTTGATATGCATGGATTCTTGATGAGTGGGTGAAACCATCTCTTTCCCCTCTCTGCCTCCTTCTCTGATGGATCCTGTTTATTCCTCCACTTTCTTCTCTTTAAAAATTAGGATGAGGATCAAAAGCACAGCAGACAAGATGCAAGGCATTCACCCCTCACCCCCCACCCCGGAGTCCCTCATTTACAAGCTGGGGATTTGATCTGCTATTCTATTCTCATAGTGCTAAGTCCTGTCTGGGACACCCCCTCCCCCTCTGTCCATACGTGCTGTGTTCAGGGTGGCCGTGTATAAAGCCCTGAGCGAGAGGACAAGGGACAGGAAGACTGGAAAGACTGAGTCAGAGAAGGCTGGGGATGAAACTTGAGTCCGTTGGGATGGTCAGTCAGCTCTCTCTGACCGAGAAGGAAGCTCCGGCCCAGGGAGGAGTCCTCCTGGCTCAAGGTCACTGGGACAGTCCAGCCCAGATGGGAAAGAACTCCACTTTGCAAAGCAAGACCCATTCCCCTAGGAGCTGAACCCTGCATGGTCAGGAAGGCAGGCTTCAGGATGGATTGGAAGAAAGACCTAGATGAAAGGTCAGGGGCCAGACTCTGGACCTTGAAGCCATTGAAGGTTGAGAACTCCACTGGGTCCCCCCTTACCACCTAAAGCACTTGCTTGCCAAGTGGGTTTGGAGTCTCTTGGCTTGCGCGTCCTTAGGGACCAGAGAAATGACTCAGTGAAGCACTTAGTACATCGTTGGCTCTAGAGGGTGGGGTGTGACTCAGGAGTCACTCACAGAGACTCATTCATAGCCTCCTCCCTGCCCCTTCAAGCCAGGGATCCAGGAACCCGCTGCATGAGACCCTGTCCCGGTTCCGACACTCCTGATACGTTTCTCACGTCTCCACCTGCCCGGCAGTCTTTGTGCGGGTGGAATATACCTGCCTGCAAACTCTAGGGCGGGGAGCCCGCCCCACTCAGCTGCCTCGTGCTGGCGTCCCACAGAGAAGACAGGATCTCAGGACCCCCAGATCCTCCTGACCTCCCCTTGATTCGGAGCACGCCCATCCTCACCCAAAGCTCCCCTGCTTTTCTGCCCTCACCCCTTTTCCCCGCCGTGGAAACTGTCCCCCTCTCCCCCACCCAACTCCTACTCTTGTCGTGGGGGGCGTGCGTCCTCTCCGCTCGCCCCCACCCCCTTCCTTTCCCTCCTCCTTTTTCCTCCCTCGCTCCGCCCCCAGGCCCCGCCCCTCGCCGCCTCGGCCCGCGTCCCCCCCCCACCCCCCCGCAAGCCCCCGGCCGGCCACCACCCCCCCCGCGGAGGGCTGTGGGGAGGGGAGCCCCGCGGGCCAGGCCCCCGCCCGCTCTGCGCGCCCCCTCCCCGAGCGCGCGCGCCCGGCGGCCCCCTCCGCGGCCTCCCGCTCCCCGCCTCCCCGCCTTCCCCTCCTCCTGGTGACGTCCGGGTCCCTGCCAGTCTGAAAACTCCGCGCCGCGGCGGTGGAGGCGGCGGCGGCGGCGGCGAAAGAGGAGGAGCAGCGGCGAGCCGAGGCGGCGGCGGCGGCCCGAGCGCGAGCCCGAGCGGCAGCCGGCGGCCGCGGGAGCCGCGGGGAGCGCGGGGGCGGCCCGGAGCGCCCGGGGTCCCCGCGCCCCGCTCGCCCGCCGCGCTCCGAAGATGGTGGCGGCGCCGTGCGCCCGGAGGCTGGCCCGGCGCTCGCACTCGGCGCTGCTCGCGGCGCTCACCGTGCTGCTGCTGCAGACGCTGGTCGTGTGGAATTTCAGCAGCCTCGACTCCGGGGCCGGGGAGCGCCGCGGGGGCGCAGCGGCCGGCGGCGCGGAGCAACCGCCCCCGGCCCCGGCCCCGCGCCGGGAGCGCCGGGACCTGCCAGCCGGGCCGGCTGCAGCCCGAGGCGGCGGCGGAGGACGGGGGGCCCCGGCGCGGGCGCGGGGAGGCGGCCCCGGAGAACCCCGAGCGCAGCAACCGGCCAGCCGGGGGGCACTGCCCGCGCGGGCGCTGGTAAGATGCCCTTTCGGGTCGCGTCCCGGAGGGAGGGAGGGTGAGGAGGAGGCAGCCCTGACCCCACGCCCCCCCAGCCCTTGAACCCCGGGCATCAGACTGGGACTCCCCAAGCCTGCCGGTTCCCTATCTCTTTCCCTGGAAGCCGGGGCGGGGTCCGTGCCGAGGCTCGGAGGGGGCCAGTTGGCTGCCCCATCCCGAGTCTGTGGACTGCCCCCTTGGGGTGTGGGGAAGTTATCTCCGGAGGAGGCGCTTTGGGGGTTACCGGAGCCTAGCCGGGTTCCTGTTCCCCGTCACTCTTCCCCGACTTGCACTGTGCATGTGGGTGTTGGTGCCTTGCCCACTGTCTGAGTGCGTGGATCGTCCCCGGGATCCTCAGCCGCTGCTCATGGGTGGTGCTCACAGCATCTCTGGTTTTTGCTGAGCTGAGTGCAGACAATTCAGTTCCCTGCTTGCCGTCTCCTTGTCTTTTCCGGGCCTGAGATGGGGTCTGGGATCGGTGTCCCAAATCCCCAGCCGACTCTCTGAATCAAGATTCAGGCTTGGGCGCCTGGTCTTACTTTAGGTCTCCTGTCTGCCCTCTCTGGCTGTCTGCGCTGCTCATGTCTCTACCTTCTCCGTCTCTAACCTTGTTCTCTCCCGGTGCCCTCTCTGACTTTCCTCACCCAGCTGTCCAGGGTCAGGGCATGGCCCCTTCTCCTAGATGGCTGTCCCTGGCTCTCCGTCTTGCGTGTAGCCAGTCAATGTCACCAGCTGTGTGACCACATCATCACGACTTCGGCTCTTCTGGGTTTTCTTTGCCTTCCTTGGGTATGAACAGTCTGAGCTCTGACACTGGTTTTTCCATCCATCTTCTGGGGCCATCTAGGTGTCTTCCTATCCTGTCCCCAACTTCTCCAGGGATGGCTTTCACACCTTCTCTGGGCTGCCTTGCTGAGCCCACTGAGCTAGGACACGCAGGACAGGAGGTCAGAGTCCCCAGCTCTGGGCCAGGCTCTCTGTGCCCCGTGGGCATGAGTGTCTGTCCTAAGGAATAACGACGTGCAGTGTGTCTGTCTCTATCTTCCTCATGCCATTTGCCTACAGGGGTTCTCCTAGCTCTTGGGGGGACATCAGATGCCAGGGGTTAGTTTCAGGATCCTTAGGCACTGAATGCATGTCTGTGTCGTTTGTCGCTCTGGGAGCCCTCACTGAAGAGTGCCTCAGACACAGTGTGATGCTTTCTGATCTGTTAAACTTCCTTGGAATCAGCGGTGACCCTCTTTGCTGGAGTGCGGCTCTTTGTGTCCCAGGAGGTGACATGATGGCATTTCACGTTGCTGGCTTGTCTGTGTGGGTAGCAGGTGGATGTCTTTCCCTTGTTTGTGGGGAGGGGTGTGGAGGGAGATTCCTGATGGAGAGCCAGAACATTCCCAATGTCCTGTGGCCTTTTAGTTCCAGAGAAGGGTACTCCCAAGCACTGCCTTTAAACTCCTGGGGTGAATTGTGATGTGTTTGGGCAGAAATGCGATTCGAGGTTCGTTCTGGATTTGGAGCCCTACAGGGAGGTGCAGTGCGAGGGGGTTCAGGATGTGCCCTGCTGGCCCAGAGTGGGAACATGTAGGCTGAACACAGTGGCATGAGGCTTCCTGTACCCTTTGTGTCTGGGGTTGACAGGCACCAGGAGGTGTATCTTTGGGTGCAAAGACCACCTGTTGAAATAAGCGGAAAGAAGGAAGGAGGCCTGGATTTCTTCCTGCGTCCTGGACGTTTTCAGTACTTCATCCACACCCTGCCTGTGTGTGCTCAGTTCAGTACCCTATTCTCTCTCCTCCCAGCTCAGCCGCAGAATGGTTTGCAGTTGGGAAGGTAGGTGGGAGCTTGCCATTTCCTTTTTTTATTCCTTTTGGCATGTCAGTTCCAGCAGCAGAGTTGCACTGCTTTTTGAAACTCTGCTTTCATCTGCAGGCTTAATTACTATCCCCCTACCCGCATCTCCCCTGGTGTCAATTTCTTCAACTTCTGTTATAGACATAGATTTTTTGTTTGTTTGTTTGGTTGGGTTTTTTTTGTTTTTTGTTTTTTGGTCCTCCTTTCTCTGAGGGTGTCTACTGCACTGTTGTGAACTGTTATGTCTCCTGGATTTGTATTTTATTTTATCTGCTCTGTCTGTCTCCTCTCTTTTCCCTGCCCCACATCTACCCCCATGCCCTGCTACATCCTGAAATCACAGCACAGACATGCTGGAGGGGTCCTGGGGTCTGTCCTCCTCTAGCCGTGCCCACCCAGCCCCTGCCCTTCCGTGGAGCTCAAGGAGACCAGAAGGGGGCAGGCTGTTCCCAAAGTCCAACGACACGCCTGAGCTTGGGCTGCAGGCTGGGAGAGGACCAGACCTTTTCGCAAGCTACTCAGGCCCTTGCAACATGTGGTTTGTCGGCAGACCCTGTTGGGGCTGCTAGCGTGATGCCTTGGAGATAGATTCAGGAGTGGGACGTTTAAAAAAAAAAATCCCTGTGATTTTCCAGATGGCTCTCTTAAAGAGCTGGTGACACACATGCTTGGGACATGATGCTTCATCTCTGTGCTCTCTGGAGGGTGGGGGCGGGGTGGGGTGGGGCAGGTGCAATTCTTGCAGGCGGAGAGAGTCTGTGGCCCCGTTGGTGGCGGTGGTGGTGCTGGTGGCTGTGTCCCACAGAGTGTCCGGCAGGCACTGTGTCCAGAGCATTTTCTAAGCAAGACCTTGCTGCTTCCTTGCACCCACCGTCCCAGAGCCTCTGCACTTCCCACCTTTTATGTCTGGGGAGCAGCCCCCCAGTGGAGGGACCTGATTGTATTTTGGTGCATTTTAAGGAGCCAAGAAGAAACACACAGTTTCTCAAGCAGAGTCAGAGACAGCATGAGGATGGTGACAAGATGGGCATATCTATAAAAGATTTGTAAGCTCCTTTTCTCTCTCCGCCTCTTCCAGAGCTCTTAAATATTAGAATTATCGGGTGGATTGGAGCAGAGTTGTGGCTGAGGCACCGAGACCTTCGCTGGCTGGGTCTCCTGTAAGCTGTGGATTTGACTGTCATCTCAGAATTTAAGAAACAGATGGGCTCACTTATAAAGGGAGGAAACACACTGGGGAGAGTGTCAAAAAGATCACACTCCAGGTTCTGGGTGGATTGGGGACAAATGAAAGAGAGCTGTGTGTGTTCACGTAACGAACGTTTATTTTCTTTTCCTTCGCTTCCAGCGATCCTCTTGAAGTCACGTTTATTCCTTGTGCCCTTAGATAAAGTGCTACCCAGCAAGTTTCATTCAAGGAGCCGAATTTTTAATCGCCCTTCCATACACATGCATCTTTAACGCGGAGTGGGGTTTTTGTATCGTCTGACCCCTTGGAGCTGTTGATTTTTTGGCAGAAATTCCTCATACTTCACATTACTCAGATAACTCAGGACCTTTTCAGACGTCAGCAGTGACTCTGAAAAATTGGTTCACTGTATCCAGATCACCTCTGGTTCTAACAGCCTGGGAGGTGTGGCTTCTCTTTCTATCCAAATGTTTTGAGACCAGAGAGAAGAGAGGGTATTTTATTGATGGTTGGGTTTTCTTTTTTTCACACTCTCAATAGGGTTTTATTTTGTTTGAGCAACGTATTACACTTTGTATACAGAAATACGCATCATTGAACAATATTTATCTTATTGCAAATGTTGCCATTTGCTTAATCATATACTGGAAAATGTTAAATAGAACAGGTAAATAAAAGTAGAAATTATTAGACACAGAGGTGTATATATGTAATTGTATATGTGCATTTGCCTTCCTTCCAGTCTCATCACACTCTAGATATTCTCTCTCATTTATCAATTCTTTTTCTTTTTAATCTTCTCAAAGTTTACGTGACAAAATACTTGCTGTTTTGCAAATAAGAAGCCAAGGCATTAGTCCCTGTTTGCTGGGTATTGTCCAACTTTGATCCGTGGTCTTAATAAGAAAGGAAATTTGCTGTTTTGAGCTGGGGCAGATATCTGACATTGTGCACGCGTGTGCGCCCAAGTGTGTGTGTGTGTGTGTGTGTTTCCCCAGAAAACAAAATATCCTTCAGAATATCTCTGTAGTCAGGAGCTGCCCTCTCACCCGGAGCTATTTATAGTCAGTGGGGCCATAAATCTGCATGCACAAAGACAAAAATGAACGGTGCCCGCATCATTGGACTGCACAGGGTGGGTGGTGTAAGGGCTGACCTCCTCTCTGTCTCTTGGTGAACACTGCCCTGTGTTGTCACTTAGGAGAATGCTCCCTGTTTTCTTTGCATTTCCCCCGTTTCTGTGGACCCTGGTCCCCATCTATCAGAACCAGGAAGAAAATACCTTGGGGAAAACTAAAAGTAAAACATAAACTTAACCCCAGCAAAACCCAAGTTCAAAGGAAAAGGCGTGGGAGCAGGAGGAAAAAGTCGTAGGAAATGTGTGCCAGGCCCCAGCGCCCAGGAAAGGGACCGTTAAGTGTTCTTGCGTCTGACACAGCTGGGTTCAGGTCAGCCTCTGCTCTTTGCCATCTCCTTGACCTTGGGCAAGTCCTTCTGCTCTGCTCCTCTGAAAATCCGGGCTCCCGCAGAGGGTCATGTGAGGATGAAATGTACTAATACATGTGAACTGCTTTTGGGGCCTGGCACATGAAAATGCTCCACTGTGAGCTGTTGTTCTTGAAAAGAAAGTCTTAGTGTGTTTGGAAATAAGCAATTTTTTGCAATTATTCATTTTCCCATTCAAAGTCGGATTTGAGTGAAATCCAAGGCAGGAGAGTAGATCCAGCGCTTGTGAGTGTGCCAGCCTTGGAGCAGGATGGACTGTGGTCGAGGGAGGAGCACTAATATTTATTGAGTGCCAGCTGTATACCAAGCCTCTTTTAGATGTTTTGCATACATTATGTTATTAAGATGCTCCAGCGCGCGCGCGCGTACACACACACACACACACACACACACACACGCAAAACAAAACAAAACGAAAAACCCAGGATGGAAGGAG